TCTTTTGATAGCCAGGCACCATCAGCTTTCTTCACCACATTTGTTTATGCACCTATTTGTCTTCAGTGATCATATCAGGAAGGTAGGCACCCACTGGGGCTATGTAACCGAGAGAAATTACTGAAACCCAAATGAAGGCTGAGCATGATAGTGGGGCAAGAGGAAAGTAAAAAGAAATAGAGGAAAGAACTAGGAGATAAAGGGTATTTATAGAGATCTAAATACAGGCATGTACTTATGTAAATATATTTATATAGGATGGTAGGGAAATAGATCTATGTGCATATATTTATAGGCTTAGGATAAAGGCAGCAGATGGACATTGGACCTCCACCCAAGTACTTAATGCAAGAACACGTTGTTCTATTAAGTTGGCATTCCATGATGCACACCTTGACACGATTGCTGAAGGCAAATGTAGTGAAAAAAACTGATAGTGCCCAGCTATCAAAAGATATAGAGTCTGGCCTTAAAGGCTTGGAGATAAACAAGCAGCCATCTAGCTCAGAAGCATCAAAGCCCACATGGAAGAAGCACACCAGCCTGTGTGACCACGAGGTGTAGAAGGTACCAGGTATCAGACATCCCCAACGGTTTTATGGGCATATAGTTCACATACACAATTCAGTAATTCAGTCACATCAAGAAGTGTTGTACAATCGTCTCCACATCAAGTTTTAGAACATTTTTTTTCTTTCTTGTACTTATTGTTTAATAGCTCCCCATTTTCTCCCAAACTCCCCTGCCATACCTTAAGAAATCATTAATCCAGTTACTGTCTCTAGATTTATTTATCCAGGATTTCATATGCAGAAAAACATTTTTTAAAAATAACCAAAAGTAAAACATTAAAAACCTCAGTTGAAAGCAGAAGATATTAAAAATTAGAGCAAATTTAGATAGATGTAGAAATTTAGGGAGATCAAATGACAGGGTGCTAAATTTTAGCTTAAATCTGATTTTTATGTATTTAGTTTTGCTAATTTTTTTCCATTCCTGGATATGTTCCGTATCTTTCTGCTTTATCCTTTATCTTACATTTTCAAGGCATTATTCAGATATAGCTCTCCGTACACCCCAAGCCCCACACTCCTCTGGTTTGGCAATAGTGGCTTTTCCATTGGAAAGGTTTCTGTGTTCCTAAGGACTCCTGGTGGCTGCTGTCAGGTTGGACTGCTAACTTCAAGGTTGACTGTTCACACCCAACAGCTGTTCCTCTGGAAAAGGATGAGCCTGTCTAATCCCCCAAAGATACACAAAACCTTGGAAACCCTAAATAGGTCCCTGTGAGTTAGGACCTACTTGATAGTGGATTTGGGCATTTTTGTTTATTTGCCTGTTTGGTGTCTTCCTTCAACTCTGGGAAAATGTTTACATGTTTAATTGTCTTTTTTCGTCTTCTTTTTCTGTCTAGATACCCATTCGATGACTATTGGTCCCATTAAATTGATCCTGTACGTCTGATTTCCATAATGTGATAGGAACCCATTGTTTACTTTTTAAATATGCATATGTACTAAATGTATATGCATGTGTTTGTTTTTAGGTTGTGTACTTGCACGTCTGCCCTAGTAAAATTGTAAATATACCCTAATATGATCTTAAAGATTGGAAGACA